CTCTCTCTCTCTCTCTCTCTCTCTCTCTCTCTCTCTCTCTCTCTCTCTCTCTCTCTCTCTCTCTGTGTGCCCCCAACGGGCAGCAGCGGTCGATGCCACGTCAAAACGGCCGCTTTGAAATTGCTCGGGCCTGTGCGAAACCCGCCACCTCAAAAACCTGCAGTGTCTTGTGTCTGGACCTCTAGGCCATGTCCGGTGGGGTGAAAGGACACTTGAAAATCACCCCTGTCTGGAGCCCGGTCCAGACGTCCGGGCGGTTATCATGAAAAAAAGGGAACTTCATCCACGCTATTCCCCGATTCAGGGGATGGAATGGAGGTCTTCATCCACGCTATTCCCCGATTCAGGGGATGGAATGGAGGTCTTCATCCACGCTATTCCCCGATTCAGGGGATTGGCTGGACAAAGGCATACACCTCCTATCTGGTTTTCTCAATAATATCTCGAGAATTAAAGCTGCTAATAGGAAGCACGCCGATATAATATTAAAGAGGAAGATTGAAATGGCGGAAAAAAGATTGGGCTTCTCCTCGTTCTCAGACAGCCACTGGTCTCTCAGGAGATCTGCGTGGCTGCACGAGTGGCAGGACAATCAGATTAAAAGGCACGACTCTTGGTGTCGCTTCAAACGGATTGATAACATATTACATAAGGATAGGATGAACACTAGTACTCTCAAACTGCGAGAGGAGAAGGGTAAATCCCCCTTAATGGTAGAGATCTCACATCCGTTTGACAACACAATCCAGCCTGCTAGATCGTCGGAGACTATATGTGAATTTATTCGCATTTTTTACGAGAAACTACTTACCACAGAGAAACAAACCAAAGAACCAATAATTCCACAAGAATGGGAGGAACGTCTTTGGGGTTCAACCCGTAGGATACTATCAGATTTTGAACAGGAAGCACTGGACCAACCAATAACACCGGGCGAACTAACAGCCGCCATGCGAAGTATGGCCAAGGGCAAATGTCCTGGGCCAGACGGTCTACCAATAGAATTTTACTCACTCTTCTGGGACACCTTTGCCCCGGACCTACTGAGAGTCCTTAATAACGTATTGGCCGGTAAC